TCTCTGACGATTCCTGGTTTCTGTCCATGTTTTTTAAAGACCTTTTTGGTCTGTTTAACAGATTTAGTTTATTAGGTAGTTTTCCCATTGATAAAATACTGGAGTGTCTCTGTTATCTATTTTTTTTTTTTTTTTTGAGACAGAGTCTTACTTACTCCATTGCCCTGAGGAGAGTGCCGTGACATCAGCCTAGCTCACAGCAACCTCAAACTCCTGAGCTCAAGTGATCCTCCTGCCTCAGCCTCCCAGTGTGCTAGGATTACAGGCGTGAGCCACTGTGCCCAACCTTCTGTATCTGTTAATACTGTGTGCCCCTGGAATAGAGTGATTGAACGGGAGATGGCAGATGAAGTGAGAGGTAACAGGGAGATCAAGAGGCATCTCTTAAATCATAGGGAGGACTTTGCTGCCTCATCTGAGAGAGCCACTGGAGGAGGCTTTGGGGTTTTAAGCAGAGCTATGACATGACGTGACTTCTGGCTCTGACAGGATCGCTGCTGTGTTGAATGGATTGAAGGGGGCTGATGGCAGAAACTGGGAGGTCAGGGAAGAGTCTGATATCCTCTGTGATGGTTAATTTCATGGGTCAGCTTGGCTGGGTGACAGTGTTCAGATACTTGGTCAGACACTACCCTGGATATTTCTGAGGTGTTTTTTATATGAGATTAATATTTAAATTGGTGAACTTTAAGTAAAGCAGATTACCCTCCTTGATGTGGGTGGGCCTCATCCAATCAGTTGAAGACCTGAATACAACAAAGACTGACCTCCCCCGAGCTAGAAGAAATCCTGCCGGCAGACTGCCTTTGGACTTGGACTGCACCTCTTCCCTGGATCTTCAGCCTGCTGGCCTACCCTGCAGATTTTGGGTTTTTACCTCTGTAATAGCATTAGCTAGTTCCTTAAAATAAATCTAAGCACATCTGTTGGTTCTGTTTCTGTGGTACACTCCGACTAATACATCATCCAAGCAAGAGATAGGATGGTAGCTTGACCAGGAAGGTGGGGGGTGCGGTGGGAAGCAGTCATGGAATTTGGGATATATTCTTAAGGTAGAGGGAAGGACTTTGTAACTGGAGCAGATACAGGGCATGAGTGGGAAGCAGTCATGGTAACACCACAGTTCTGGCTGAGCAGCTAGAAGATGCTGCCATCACCCAAGGAGGGGAGACCGCAGGAGGAGCTGGTTTGTGGGAGAATCCCAGGAATTTGATTTAGAATCTGTTGACTTTGAAATGCCTGTTAGCCAGAAGTGAATATAGGTAGTCTGGAACTGAGGAAAGAAGTCTGATGGAGCTAGATGCTGGGGAGTTTAAGGCTTTGAGGCAAAGAGATGAGACCACTCAGACTCTAGGTACTAGATCCGAGTAGGTGGGTGTAGAGAGAGAAGAGGCCCAAGGGCTCAAGCCTGGGGTTCTAGAATGTCTAGAGGGGATAACATGGAATGAGCACAGGAGACTGAGAATGAGCAGCCAGAGGGTGAGAGGAGAACCAGGTGAGTGAGCCCACTTGAATAGACACTGCCTGTTCAGGACCCTGCGTGTGTGTCTCCTAGTACTTTCATGGGAATTATGTGTTTTCCCCACATAAGAGTTTATCGAGAGTACAGATTATCACTCAGTCTCCACCTCCCGGGATGGCACCTAACACTGGTAGGAATTTGTTTGAATGAACTGCCTTAGGAGGTCCGAAGGTCCCAATTATTGAATGCCTACAAAATATGCAAGGTCCTTATTCTAGACATGATGAGAGTTGCTTCTTCATCCACTTCTGCCTTGACTGAATCATTGCCTTACTCCTCTGGCAATAGCTGATTTCCCTAAGAGGGTGCGTGTGAATGTGTTTGTAAGTATACAAGCAAACAATCCATTAAAAATCAGAGTCCTGGCGACTGTACCGTGAAATAGTTCCAGAATAAGAGTCCTCTCACTGTTTACACTTTTGCCACTCTAGACCAAACCACCGTTATTTCTTGCCTGGATTATTGCAAAAGCCTTTTATTTTTGGTCTCTTGGCTTCTTGTCCTTGCCCCCCAGTAATCTGTTGGAGCACCTAGAAGAATGCCTGGCATGAGATAGATGCTAGTTAATATTCGTTGAATGAACAAATTCTTGAGTAAACATTCACACCTAATGTTCTTTGAGCACATGTGCGACTTTCTGTGTCATAGACTGCTGTTAGAATAAAATGTAGACTGTATTGTGGCTTAACGAGCTGTCCTCCGTCTGGCACTTAATCTGCTACTCTCTTTTGCTGCACTCTGGCCGCAGTGGCCTTTCTTAGTCTTGAAAATACCAAACTCTCACCTTCCAGCTTCTGCATTCTTTTCCTGTGGAGGGTTTCCCTCGCCTCATCCCTTCCCGAGACAGGCTCCTTTCATCATTCGGGGCCCCGTTCCAATGTCTGCTCCTTGGAGAAGTTTCCTGTGACCTCCACAGCTAAAGAAGTCCTCGCCCGCCTTTTTTCCCACTCTTAGTCTATTTCAACTTTTTCCCCCTCTTTTCCGAGTCTTGCTTGTGATAACTGAAGACCAACTCTGCCGATTATCTTTGTGCTTGTTGTTACTGTGTTTTGGGCCCCTCCCCCATCCCGAGGGGACCCGAATGGTTCTGAGATTTCTGGGCTTGTGGAGTTGAGTGGATAGGTAATGCTGTTTGCTGAGAGACAGAGTATTAGTGCTGAAGGGTCTGAAGAGTTGTGCTTTTAGTGTGTGTGTGTCGGTCCCAGCTGGTTCCTTTCTTGAATTTTATTTATCATTTTAGAAAACAAACCTCTGTGACTTTGGTTTGTTTGTTATTTATTGATTTGTTTGTTTTTTTAGAGATGAGGTCTCTCTTGCCCAGGCTGGAGTGCAGTGGCACAATCATTGCTCACTGCAGCCTTGAACTACTGTGCTCAAGCGATCCTCCTGCCTCAGCCTCCTGAGAAGCTGGTACCACAGGCTTGCACCACCATGTCCAGCTCCGTAATGCTGACTTTTGAGAGCTTGTTACGTGTCAGGCACTATGCAGAATTCTTTTACGTGGATTCATTTATTCTTACTGTTCTAGCCAGAAATTTTATTGATTGTACTAAAACTGTTTTCTCTTGATAAAGCACACCTGAAGCATTCCCAGTAGTCCTCTCCCCATCTTTGACCCTGATTCCTTTGCCAGCTTTAGGTATTATAAATAGCCCCATGTATAATAAAATCATAGATCTGTTAATATTCAGGAAGTTATTTGTGTTAAAATTTGTTTGATTTGGAGATGTTGTAGAAACAACTATAGTTTTAAATTACATATACCAATACTCTTATAGGAAATATGGTTATTAGATTATTGCCAGGAACAAAGTGAGAGGTGGAAACTCACAATTCTGTATTTTTCCATTCCCTTTAAAGCCAGGTTGTAAAATTAAGTATAACTGCACGTGGGTGACTTGGCATGGTGTGGGATTCATTTCATCCTGAGCTAGTGGAATGGCATAACTGTCCACGGTTTATTCAGTCACTGCAAACTCTTGATGGGAGTTGTTTAAAATGATTCTCTTCTTTCTGCCTGTATATGGAGGATGGCCTTTTCTTTTTTTTTTTTTTTTTTTTTTTTGAGACAGAGTCTCACTCTTTTGCCCAGGCTAGAGTGAGTGCCGTGGCGTCAGCCTAGCTCACAGCAACCTCAAACTCCTGGGCTCAAGCGATCCTACTGCCTCAGCCTCCCAAGTAGCTGGGACTAGAGGCATGCGCCACCATGCCCAGCTAATTTTTTCTATATATTTTTAGTTGTCCGATTAATTTCTTTCTATTTTTAGTAGAGACGGGGTCTCGCTCTTGCTCAGGCTGGTCTCGAACTCCTGAGCTCAAACAATCCTCCCGCCTCGGCCTCCCAGAGTGCTAGGATTATAGGCGTGAGCCACCGCGCCCGGCCAGATGGCCTTTTCTTGAAAGTGGTGTGGTTTTGTTCAGTTGCTGTTTGAGGTGCCTTGGAGAGAGAATGACACGGTTTGGGCCTCTTGGCATATATTTCCTGATATGTATGGTGAAGTTACCAGGTTCTAGTACTGGACTTTATAGACAAACCGCAGGTTTTGTTTAAAGTGAAAATTTTGTTCTCGCCATTAAGGCAATAATATTTTCTTGCAGCTCATGTTTGCTACTTTCTATATTCATTGCACAATAAGCAATTGTGTACTTTTTGGGGCATTAATCTCTCCCACAAATAGTTTCCACTGTAAGAAGTCTTACAGTGATTGAAGAAGCCAAATGTAGTATATCATGAAAACTGAACAAAAAGGGACAGGAGTGAGAGGTATCTTTATTTTAATCTACTGAGGACTGTGTTTGCATTTACTTGTCTTATTAAATCCTGGTCAAGTGGTCACCATTTATTACATGGTTGGGATTTAAGACCAAATTGAGATCAATTGAAAACGGTATAGAAGTTGGCCAAGAATGCAGGGAGAATGGAGTTAGAAGGTTTTTTTGAGTGTATTCTTAGTTCTAATCTTGATATATATTTTTTTCTGTTTAGATGAAAGAAAACTAATCTCCAAATATAAAGTTATAAACATTAGGTTCCTTGGATTTACCTTTAGTAAAGATTCTTGCACCTTATTAAAAAATAAATCTGACTTATGCATAGCTTCCTACTTTTAATGTTATGAAATGTTGAATTTTATGTATTAAATATTTTGCTATTTTAGGTGAGTATAATATAGGTTTAAATTATTCACCAGCATTGAATGTTTTTCTTGGAGAGTAGCAGCTATTAATGTTCAATCAGTCTATTTATTTTTATTGATACAATATAGAGCTGTTTTATTATGCTTTTCCTTAATGTTGAGATTAAAAGTATGGTGATTAGAAACAAGCCTGAGTGTTGGGATAAAGCACTGCTTAGGTTTTGAACAGCACGTTGTTTCTTCCCTCACTGGCCCTTTTCCCCGTCCCCTGCTGAAAATAGTGATGGCATAATGGGATGTCAGCTTCATTTCAGTGCTGTATTGTAAAGATTAAGATTCACATTAATCATTTTATTCAATACAAAGCTTCCTTTTAAAATGAAAGTCATGGTTAATGTCTGAGTTTCATACAGAATTTGTTAAACTTCATACTAAATAATATTGCCTTAGTTCCTGTGAGATGTGTTTGAGGTATAAAAAAATACTTCAAACATTTTTTTCAAAATATTTAGGAAACATTTTAGTTAAAAGCATACTGTTCAATGAAAACATTGCATGTTTAGAATGGTTAAAAAAGAATACTGTTTAAAACACAGATTACATCCATAGGAGTTTAAAATTCTGACCTTGTAACAAAGAGAAACTTGAAGTCACATCACTTTTTCTTACTCTTAATCTTGAGAGTTCTGATTCTAAGGTGGTCATAAAACCCCCTCTGTTTATAAGTAGCTTAACTTGATGGATAATAATATGGTAGGTTCCATATTCTGTGTGATAATGTTGGGAGCCTGTTCTTTGTGTTTTTGTCTACATAACTTGAAATAGTGGGTATCTCATCTTTGTCAGGACTCCTGGCGCTTTCACCTGGGATTGCGGAGTGAGCAGGACAGCCTGTGCTCTGAGAAACCCCCGGGTCCCCTCGCTCGCTCCCCTCGTCAGCACTGCTCAGGAAGTCTTTCAGAACTTGCTTGAAGATGTAGACTATTTCCCACGGCAGTACATCATTTTCTGCCAAAACTTCTCGAAATCTAGAGGGAATGTGGTAACATTTAATTCAGAAAATTTCTTTTGTTGTATCCCTTTATCTCCAAAGTACTTGCATATCTTATCTTAAAGTACTGGTATATTAGTCACCCACCTTTTGAGTAATCTGCATATTGCTTTAAAATTATTCTTCTAGGAAAGAAATTTTCAATGTAATGAAAAAAATTTCCTACTAGTAAGATTTCAACAGATACTTTTATTTAGCCTATCCTGAGGTATTTTGGTAGCTGGGTATTTGATACACATGCTTAAAGAATTTACATGATAGAAAACAATTTCTGGTCTAAATATATGAAGAACTTAGATTTAGCAGTAGCAAATATCACAACAAGAGAGCATAGTATTTTTTACCTGCTGAGAATGGTTCCGGTTTGGCAAAGTTGAACTTGTGAGCAGAGAACTTCGAGTTGTCTTTGTTCGGTCACTGGGATAGTTGTATAGGGGTTCTGGTAGTTTCTGAGCCAGTTGTAATCCACACCTGTTTTTTTCACTTTTTGTTCATTTTCAATTTCTTGTATTAATCTCTCTCGCTCCTTTAGGTGCCATTTTAATTCCCGAAGCAGAGTCTTGGTCACCACATCTGAGCCAGGACAGTGTGTGGGTTTGTAGGCATCGTTTTTTGGCCATTTCATCCAGCCAAAAAGTGGCATTTTTAGCCTATGGAAATATTTTCTCACTTGTTTATTTACATAAAATATTATGGTTCTGATGAGAAAATATTTGTTTCTTTACAATAAATTTGCCAGAAAAGGGCACGAATTTCTCACTGGTTAGACATGCAGGTCAGAATAAGATTAGAACATGGTAATTATAACAAAGCAAAAAAAACAAGATTAGAACGTGGATTAAAATCTTTTCATTTCTGACTAGGTCAGTGGCAAAAATCAAGCTCTGAAAATATTTTTATGTAGCTAAGCAGAAATTAAACGTACAAAGTCAGAGATAATCTACAGACTGAACGATTCGTGAAAACAACAAGAATGCTTTGTAGTAAAAGTTCTTGGGAGGCTTTAAATATTACTGTATGGGAAAGTGCTATCTACAGACACACTTTTGCTTTATGTTTTGTATAGAAAAGGTTTAAAGCTTACCTGTTAAGTGGACGAATCCGACGTGGTGTCTCCAAAGAGTTTACTTGAACTAGTGAAGAAGCCGTGTTTCACTAGGGCACGTCTCGTTCTCCTGGCTGTGTCCTTTATTGAAGGAATGAGCCTCCTTATTTACCCACTGAAACTATTTGAAATAAATAACTTTCTATGTTAGGAATGAGGTTGTGATGTCTTCCTTTGGGGAGAATGCTCATTAATTAAGTAAGCTAGAAGAAATGACAAAAATAACTTACTATTTAATCTTTGCAAATTATGTAATGGTCTACCTTTTGAATATAGCTTAGTTTACTTGAAAAAGATACCAGCAGCTATGAATGCTGGTCCTAATGCATCCCGACTTGTCTTTGGTAATGAAACGAGGAACAGTTGTCTGAAGCACCACAGATGCGCTCCTAGCTAAGGTGAAGATTGTCGCATGATGTGATGCGTTGCTGTGCATAGCTGTAGGTCACAGTTCAGTGCTGTATTTTTATGCCTGTAGAGCTCTAAAAATAACCATGTTGCTCTTATTCTTCGGCTTAACTTTCAGGGCATTTAAAAGCCAGGTCACCGTCCCCTGTAATGAAAGCAGGAAAAATAGATCAGACTCGACTATTTGTAAAATATGAATTCTGAGAGAGCTCGTTGTAACTGAGAAAAATAGGCAAAGAATGCGATATTATGTGTGAAATATTTAGCAAATGTGACATTTTGAAGTCATTTTGATTTTTCTTGCAAAATAGTTAAATTTGTATATTTAAGCAAATTGAAATGCTACAGGACATCATAAACAATTAGAAAGCTTTAAAATGTACTTTATAATCTCTTTGAAAACACGGTGATAAGGCAATAATGGGTTGTCAGGAAAAAATGGAGATATCAGAACATACTAAGTTCAAAACAGAATCTTATAATTCATTATAGAAAATCATCTTAGTGTTTTCTTCTGGGGCTGAAGATGAAACAGTTTCGGCGAGGACTGGTGTGTAATGGTCTTCGTTGTACTAATTTTCTGTTCAAGTGTGTCTTGCTGAAGAGTGGACGGAGTATAAAAGGTCTTTTACTTTCTAGTTCTCTGTTAAAGCACTACATGGTGGCTTTTCCTTTTATAATATTCGTTTCTTTTCCCTTCAAATGAGCCATGAAGAGCAGACATTGTTTACATCAGCCCTGCATGTCCTGCCTGATCCAGAGTGACGCGCGTGGTCAGCCTGCAGCTCCAGTCACGCACGGGGTAGCAAAGCCACACGTCAGGATTCGTTACCTTCAAGTGGAGGGTTTTCACACTGCATCGCGTGTGGTGCCAGGAGAAGGCAGGGAGTCAAGTTTACCGTGACAGCAGTGTCCTACCAAATTTTTTATTGAATTATAATGAATCTTGCCACTTCTTCCTTGGAATAACCTTTTTGTTACTGCTTAAATTTTTTTCGCTCTGAAATGGTAACAAAAATATCAGGATGTATTGGCTACGGAGCATAAATCAAATTTCCCTTCAAGGCTGTGGTGGTCTCCCGTGATCCCTCCGGGTACGGCTTGCCGACCGCTCCACCCCAGGGCGTGTCTTCTGTCTCAGCCAGGCCACCTGCCTGGCGCTCACCGTGCTCACTTCTGACCCTTCGCTTCTGGCTAAACTGACTGTCTTCTGAAACGCTTAGTCTGTCTCTTTTCCGCATATCCATATTGTAATTCTTTTTTTCAGTGACCAGCTTGAATGCCAACTCTTTTTTTTCCGTTTTAGGGTAAACATCAGCATTTTCCCCTAAGCCTGCTTTTCCTTTGAACTCTGGTTTTATGTATCTTTACTTATAGAAAGACTGGTCTGTGTTCCTGTTCTCTTGCCCCCTTTTTTCCTAATGCTTTTTGAATAGTTTATGCTCTGTCCTCCACTGTAATTGCTGGCTGTCATTCGCTCAGCAGACATTATTGACTGTCGGCCATGGCCTGGGTGGTTAGGGGCTGAGGTGTAGCAGTGAACAAGACAGACCTAGTTGCTACCCACATGGAGCTAAAGTACAAATCTAAGTACACGAATCATCTCGTAAGGTAATTAGAGATCATTGTGGGTTATTTGATGTATTTGAAGTGCTTTTCCTGATTAGATCTGGAGGTCAGGGAAGGCCTTTCTGGGGGGAGGATTTCCTTTCAGCAGAGATTTTAAGATCAGTGATCTATTCTCTGCTGGGTACGGTGGCTCACGCCTGTAATCCTAGCACTCTAGGAGGCTGAGGAGGGAGGATTGCTTGAGCTCAGGAGTTCGAGACCAGCCTGAGCAAGAGAAAGACCTCCGTCTCTACTTTGAACAATCAGCTACTTGAGAGGCTGAGACAGAAGGATTGCTTGAGCCCAGGAGTTTGAGGTTGCTGTGAGCTAGGCTGACTGACGGCACTCTAGCCGGGTGACAGAGTGAAAAACAAACAAAAAACAAAATTTTATGTATTTTTTTTTCCTGTCTCCTGAGAGTATTAGATTGATGTAGAGACCAAATATCATTCTCTGGTTACATTATTTCCCCTACTACCATGTAGAGAACATAAATATTTGTAATTCAAGGTAAGGATGTTCCTTTTTATTAATCTTTCCTGTTTATCAGGGTATAACCAGATGCACATTGGATTTTATTTATCAAATATTTTAGTTGAATAAATGAATTGTTTCTGATGAATTTTAACTTGATCAGGATATTTCATGTAGAAGACAAAGCTTAAACTATTAATTAGTTTAAGCTTTAATCATTTTCTTTTTGGTCATGGTTATCTAGGCTTTATATTATTAGCTAAATAGTATAAAATTTTATTAGACTCGAAGTGAGATAGGACCATATTCATAATATGTGTGTGTCTGTGTAAAATTTTAAGATCTGTAAACTACATAAAAAG